TCAGTGTATATGTAAGTGTTTCAAAATAAAAAATATTGGTAAATTAAATAAATACTTAAATCACTTTTTATGAAAATGAGAATATACATATATATACTTACTCAAACACGGAGGAATCATTTTGATCACCCCATATGAGTATTTCTGCAATTGACCGAAGTGTCTCAACCAAGAGACCCCGGTTGCTGTCTTGTACAACTTGGTTCTTGCTAAGCACATTGTACAAATACCTAAAGAAAAAAAAAAAGCATAAACAGGTAACCCTGTACCTTATTATCATTATTAGAAAAAATTGATTTAACACCAAGGCAGATACAGTTATTGAGCATTGATTATCAATATATATAAATGAATATACAAATAAATGGATATAAGTAAATTGATTATAACTTGAAATATGGGGAGAATAATTAATAATGCCTGAATATAATATTTTTCTTTCACCTATTGACAAGACACCGAACATATAAATATGCATAAGATCAAACTATTAGCTCTGCACAAGCTCTTTTATGGATGAGCCATAAGCAACAAACCCAGGCTTGGGCCCTGGGCTACCTTCAGCTAGCTAGGTTCCCATTCTTAATGATAAGTTATAACATCAAAAACCACCTTTCAGCAAGCTCTGGCATATGAAAGTGTGAAACACACAATGTGCAGATAATTCTAAATAAGTGTATAGATAAATCTTAAAACACATAAATGAAGTATAATAACATTAATAAAAAAGTCTTTCAAAGCATAAATGTGTAACAGCAGTCACTGATAATTAGCCAAATATTGTTTTGACAACCACGCACTAACAAATGAACTACTTCAGATACTACAGTAATGAGCTAAGCAGTCAGTGTTCTATTATTCCTAGCAAGGTAAACCAGATATGCGGCTTAGAATCTGAGCGGTGATATACAAAGTATATTTTGTCCTTTAGCAGTGACTACAAGGCCACTGTAGCTTAAACTATGTTCTATCCTATTCAATTTCTTTCGCTCTATAAGATGGCCATTTCCCTCTACCTACACACGTCGCTATAAGTAACTTATGCCACAAAAATATTTACAAAACAATAATGGTCCTAAAAATGATAATGATAGCATCAAAAATAACATTATTAATTACAATACTCAAGATGAAGAAAAAGAAGATGACATGAAAATAACAATATATTAACAGTAACGCATAAGAAAGTGATAACACTAACAAGAATGATGATGATTATAACAATGACAATGATGATAAAAATAACAATAACAGTATTAACAATAACAATAAATATAACAATAACAACAACAACAACAACAACAATAATAATAATAATAATAATAATAATAATAATAATAATAATAATAATAATAATAATAATAATAATAATAATAATAATAACAATAACAATAATAACAATAACAATAATAATAATAGCAATAATAATAATAATAATAATAGTAATAACAATAAGAATAATAACAACAAGAACAATAACAATAATAATAACAATATTACTACTAACAATAATAACAATAATAATAATAACAATACAACAAAAACAATAACAATATGTTAGAGTAATTAAAGATGTTTATTACTATAAGTATGCCTCATATATGTCTATGATATACCTCATATTACCTAAACTAAGGTAAAGTTGTATTTTGTTAAGTTACCCATAAAAAAGTATATATTCTTTTATTTATGCCATCTTACGGCAAATTTTATACTCGTGTAATGTAAACAACCCTATGTAGTGCCATGTAGATTCTCCTGAATACATAGAGTTAAATGCATCAACTCTGTGTTTTACTGATCCCCACAGAAAATCATATATGCATTGACACATCAAACTTGCTTAATACACGCAGGGAATATGAGTTCTCCCACTATGTCAACAGGTTATGGGCCCAGATTTATGCAGTTTGATGGTGATGCAAACAAATATGATTTGTGAGAAGAGCACTTCCTTGGCGCGTTGGACATATTGGAACTACATCTCGCGCTTGATTAGTATGCTTCAGAACGTCCAGAAGGTTATAATCTGGATCGTGCCAAAAGGACAATCTATAGTCATTTAACTGGTTGTCTTGACAGAACGTCACTTGGCATGATAAAATGTGAAGCGAAAGGAGATAGTGTGAAGGCTTTGGCAGTACTATGAAAGTATTACTTAAGGGAATCAGACCAGAGGTTGTATGCTTTATTAATGTCATTCTTCACCAAAAAGACTAGAGAATGGCAGTGCTATGGAATATCTCTCATTCCTTGAGGAGACAATAGCAGCACTCAGAGAAGCAGGTGAGAGCATCAGTGATCATATCTTAAGTGGCAATCACACTAAAAGGACTTTCATAGAAATACAAGAGTTTTATTGATACAGCTATTTTAACTTATGAAGATACTCTCAAAGGAAATTCTGATACAGAAAGAGTAATGGTTGCCCAAGGTAATAATACATTTAAACAGAAGAGATGTAGTGTGTATTGAACCAGGCCATTTTGCATCAAAATGCTACTAAGGTGGTGAATATAAAAGAGTAAACAACCTGAACAAGCCTCAAAATGTCAAGAAAGAATCCCAGGAGGAGTAATAACTCAGTAAATTCTGCTAATAATACAAGTGAGCCACAAAACTTTGAATATTCTTTCCATATAACACACTCAAAGTTATGACCCGTCGAGGGGACCTCAGTGATGTGACATTGGAAAACAAAATGTATGAGGCTTAGAAGCAGATGAAAGTTTGATCATGATTGAGTGGTTGCACTACACATACAGAAATAAATGAACCAAAATTTGTGAAATTTGAAGAGTCCTTTGATCCACAAAACCATTACATAGAGTTGGCAGATGGCCAAAGGCAACAAGGAAATGTGCAAGGAGTCGGTGATGTCAAGGATTTTATTCAAGATCGAAATGGCAGATCGAGAAGTGTTTTACTAAAAGATGCTCTATACATACCAGGATTTAAACAAGACATCATGTCAGTCTGGAAAACCATTCAGAGTGGATGCAGCATTACTTTTTCACCAAATGGTAGTACACTAACTACCAATGGTGGCACAGTATTTGACATTGTTGAGAAAAACAAATTGTACTACTTACGTAGAGGTAAGCAACATTCAAACTCTCATATGGATAAGTTCAACAAGGTCCATTTAAGGGAGGCTAAGCACGCCCTAGAGGAATGGCATAAAATTCTAAGACACTGTAATGTGACTGATGTGCAAAAACTTGAAGCAACTGTTAATGGCATGCATATTTTGAGTAAAGATAAGTTCAACTGTACCACACGTGCTCTTGGTAAAATGACACAGTATAGAAATAGAGAGCCTGACAAAAAGGCTAAGCAGCCCTTAGATTTAGTCCACTGTGATGTAGTAGGACCTATTGATCCAGCAGCTAAAGGAGGTTTCAGGTACAGTATCTCTTTCATTGATGACTACTCAGGAGCTCTTAGGCCTGTACTTTTAAAACTTTCGCCAGTGCTGGCGTTCCCCTGGCGAAGCTTCGCCAGGCGAACCTCTGAGTGAGGGAGGCCTTACTTTTAAACCCAACGTTCGCCAGGCGCTAACATCTTGCATTCACGCTAAATCTAGCGCAAATTTGTTTACATCTGCAGTGCACATAACTTAACGTAAACTTAATTATTAACCTCGAGAGAAGACGAAAATGTTGTTTCCGCAATAGTCTCACTTTATACTATAACACAGGAGTTAAAATTTAACTTTATGCTATAACAAAGAAGTTGAAAATATCTTTATACTATAACAAAATTAACTTTATACTTTATGCTATACTACACTTTATACTATAACAAGGTTAACTTTATGGCCCGTACTTTTAAAACCTTTTGCTTTTTCTCGCGTTTTTTTTTTATTCGCCGAAGCGCGAGATTTATCAGGAATCAAAGATGTTAGCGCCTGGCGATCGCTTTCGTTCGCCAGGCCTGGCGAACACCTGCCTTAGTTTAAAAGTAAGGCCTCCCTCACTCAGATGTTCGCCTGGCGAAGCTTCGCCAGGCGAACATCTGAGTGAGGGAGGCCAGCATTGGCGAAAGGTTTTAAAAGTACTTTATACTATACTATATCAACCTTATACTTTTATACATAAAATAACTTTATACTTTAACAAGAGTTTAAAAATTACTATTTTACTATTCCTAACTGATGTAAGATATTGAACTGTAGGCCTACAAGGGTATCATTAAAGACGCCTCATTATAGGGCGGTGGAGCACTACAGCTCTGTTTCTATAGCCAAAAGTAAACATGCCGCCATAAAAAACACTTCTGGTAACATTTGTGAATAGAACATTATCCTTACAACCAAAATAACAACAACCTAAATCTAAATAAGTCATCTCGGGGTGGGGGTAGGGGTAGGGGGGTAGAATACAGCTGATGTCTTGAGCTCTCGACTGGAACATCGAAGGTCTTGAAAAAAATACGTATATACGTTATTTCATAACAAATTATGATTTTAAGATATTTTATAATTTCAATGTGATTCCTACATCCTATCATACACAAATATGTTACTAATTTATAATTTGAAAGCAAGAAAATGGTATTAAAACAGCTCTCTTCGCCAGGCTGTTCCAATATGATCTTTCACCAGCCCTGGCGAACGTTCGCCAGGCATGATTTTAAAAGTACGAAATTCCGGATCGCCCGGCGAAACTTTCGCAGCCCTGGCGAAAGTTTTTAAAGTACGGCCTTAGAGTTACTTCATAAAGAGTAAAGTGATACAGTACAAGCCATGAAGAGGTACATGGCAGAAACAGCACGTTATGGCAGGATAAAAAGCCTGAGATGTGACCATGGAACGGAATTTACAAATAATGAATTCAGAACACTCCTTATAGAGAATAAGATTAAACAAGAGTTTTCTGCACCCCACTCTCCACATCAAAATAGAACAGTTGAGAGGTCACACAAATCCATTTTTGATATGGCTCGATGTTTACTGATTGATGCCAAATTACCCAAGGATATGTGGAGCTATGCAGTGAAAACTGCTTGCTACATAAGGAATAGGTGCTATAACCCCAGAACTCGGAAAACTCCAGTAAAAATGCTCACTGGAAAGCAGCCCAACATCAGCAAAATGAATGTTTTTGGAGTAAGATGTTTTGCATATGAAGAGGAGAAAAAGAAACTTGATCCCAGGAGTAAGGAAGGGATATTTGTAGGCTATGATGACCAGAGCACAGCGTACTTAATTTACTTCAAGGACATCCAGACAGTAAAGAAGATAAGATGTGTCAAGTTTATGGAAAACTTGCCCAATGTAGCTGAACCATCAAG